AACTATTTTAATTTTTGTTTAAGCAAGAAATAATTTCATGAAAATTCCTCAAATATTATTTGCTAATAATTATTTATAATAATTTCATTATATAAAAGATTCTTCTAAATTTAACTTTTCTTTATATTTAAAGGTTCTGTGATATTTTAATATCATCATTGAATATGCCATACTGCTTCATTGTCATTGTTTGAGTATTTTCATTAAATGTCAATTTATTTAGAGTAAATATAATTTGTATCGTCTATTTTTTAATTATAAGCTAATATATATAATTCTTGCCAAATATAAATTTACTCCAGCATTGTCATTCAGTTAAATTATGATCTTAATAAACTAGTTCAAGCAATAACGGTATCAAGAAACATGGATGAAATATTAATATTCTTTTTTGGATCATCTAATTTATATGTATATAGCGAATTATATAGGCCAGAAGATTACCGATTGTAATAACGAAATGTTTAAATTAGTGTAAGTATAATAACGAAATGTTTAAATTAGTGTAAGTATAATAACGAAATGTTTAAATTAGTGTAAGTATTACTAATGCTATAACTAATGCTTATATGCAATCATGACAATCAAAGATCGAATATTTAGGAGTTTTATAAATATTCGAATCCTACAAAATCTTGCGTTTATTAATTTGTATAAAAATATTTTTATTAGTACTAATATTTTCATTTTTGTATTATATAAAATTATTATTCACATTTAAACGAAAATGTATATATCTTTGAACAGAAAGATTTTATTTATATTATATTAAAATTGTTTTCCGATTTAAATAAATTGAAATAAATTTGCGGAAGTCTATGGAAATTTTTTTCCATAATTTTTTTAAGCTGTCTCAAGATATCTTCTTTTTTATCTTTATTTTTAGATGTGGTACATCGTGATATCTAATGCCTATTACATCACAAAAACTGCTTTTATTTTTAATGAATAGAATGAGCAAAGATTTTTACTACACCATTGGTTTTATATTTGTGGCAAAGATAAAAAAATTTTGCTATGGTAAGAAGCGCTAAGAATAAAAAAATAACAAAATTTTGCTAAACTGTACATTAAATGTTCTTTTTAGCTTGTTAATACTGCGCTGTCCTATATTGCTGTGATGTATTCAATTCAATCATGAGAATGAAAATGATAATTTAACATGCAATCAATAAATAAATATTTACCTTTCCGTGATTAAATATAAAAGTATAAAGAAATATTGCATTTTTTTTATAAGATGTTGATCACGAACGATTTTATTAAAAGAATATCAGTTTTTACGTAATTGTAATTTAAATAATATTTATTTTATAATATGAGATTTATATATAT